ACAAACCCGCGTTTGTGTTGTGGTGTGTGTGTGTGTGTGTGTGTGTGTGTGTGTGTGTGCGCCTGTGGAGGGCCCGTTGTTGGGTGTGTGCTGAAACCCTGTGCTATGTGTGCACATGTGTGCATAAGCCCCTTCAGCCACGCATTCTAAGCACCTGGGATGAGCCAAAGTGCAAATCCAAGGTGATTTACAGAATTCAAAGTGTAAATCCAAAGTGATTCACAGGAACAGGAGACTTGCACTCCCTCACCATGTGAGTAGGAAGGCCGTGAGCGTAGCCCAATATACGCGTCTGCACTGCAGGAGGCAGGCGACATTGGGACCTGATAAGGGATTCCTCTTGGCTGTAACTTCTTAAAATCTTTATATTGAAAAACAGTCAAGTCTACAGAAAATTTGCAGAAACAATACAATGAAATTTTATATGCCCTTCACCTACATTTTGCAATATTTGCTTTCCCTGTCTCTCTCTTTTGCTATTATTTTTCCGAAACGTTTAAAAGTAAATGGCAGATACCATGACTCTTCACCTCTGAATTCTTCATCATAGCTTTCCTAAGAACAGGTGATTCTCATACAATCCCAGGACAATTACCAAACTCAGGAAACACAATACTATCGACACAATACTATTATCTAACATACAAGCCCATACTCAAATTTCATCCATTGTACCAGTTATGTCCTCTATGACAGTTTTCTTCCAATCCAGGATCATAGTGGCTATGGAAATAAATCCTAAACCTCAAGTCATGGCAAGGCAGTGTTGAAAGAAAAAGCAGGCAGCCTCTGAAAGAAATCAGAGGAGCCCAGAAGTACTTTCATGGGTTTGGTTTCTCTTCTTCCTCTGTGTGGATGAGGAAATGTGGCTTTGGGATCAGGGGCAGGAATGAGAAAGGTGAGCTGGGGACAGTCTTCCAGCCAGAGAATATTGTAACATCTTGAAGGACAAAGATGACAGCTGGATTTTTCACACTCTCCCCACGATACCTGGAAGAGGGGTGTGCGTGCATTTCTCTCACCGCTCAAAAGCCTTCGTGGCTCCCGCTGGGGCAGGACCAGGACTGAGTCCAGGCTTCTCAACCTTCTTTCAAGGCTCTCATGCCCCACCCCCCTTAACTGGACCATCAAGCTTCCCAGAGGCAGTGTGCCCCCTGGCTCAGCGTTAACACAGCACGGTGGGAAGACTCCCTGTCCTCGAGCTGGGTCTTCCAGATTTCCACCCCACATCTCTGTCCCCCGGACCCATCCTCGGGGAACACCTCTCACGGTAATCGTGGGCACCCATCCCACACTCACCCACCATGGCCCAGTGCACAGCTCTCCTTCCTACCATGTTTTCCCCAAAGCGCCGTGGGCACTTCCTCCTTGAACCCCCCTGCTCCACCCCCTCAGCGCCTGAGCGTCTGCTACCTGTAATATCTCTGGTCAGTTCCTGTGGGCTTCGTGGTGCTCGACGCTCCCCTCCCCGGCCTATCTTATGCCCCCCACCACAAGGCGCCGGAGCTCACAGAGGAACCACTTCGATTACATCTGGGTGGACTCAACAAAGCACCCTGCTGGACACCGTGCTGGTGGGGGTATGGCCTCCGGAACCAGCAGTCGCCACCACCCACGCAAGGGCCAGAGAGCCCCCACTCTACCTGGCCCTGCTCAAACTTGTTGGACTTGTCCGACTTCTTCAGGGGCCGCTCGCCTGTGTCCCCGTACTCCTCCCCGTAGATGGTCAGGTAGACATTGGCATCGGTGCCGGCCTTGGGCACATTCCCCGTGATTACCTGGACCTCATAGGTGTTGGCTGGGGACAGAGAAAAACGTGGCGTTGAGGACACGCAGGCCTCGGGGCGGACCTGAGGCTCAGCCTCTCGGATCCAGCCAGCTCGTGGGAGCGGGAAGGACCTACAGATTCCTCCACATCTGCACTAACCTGGAAAGAACCTATCCCTCCCCACTGCTCAAGACTTTTCTTTGCCATGAGGCCCAGGAGCCTGAGAGTCAAGGGGAGACGCCCTTGGCCGCCCTCCTACGTTACGTCCCACTTTCAGTCATCGCGAGCTACATCCACGCTCCCCCTGAGAGCCGCCCGAGGGGGCAGAGCTAACCCCAGGCAGAGGCCTGTCACAGGTCAGGAGACCCACTTGGGAACCATGACGGGTGCCCCGCTATGGGGCTGCCACGTGACTGGCGAGCTAGACACCCCCCTTCACCGGGCCCCCTTCAGCGGACCTGCAGACCCCTCCTCGGGCTTACGCTCAGGACCCGGCCGGCCTGCCGGCACCAGCTCCACGACAAGTTCATTGTCCTCCTTGCCCCGGGCCAGCCAGCGGTGGGCTTCGAACTTGTACTCCTCAATCACCTCCTGCATCCCCGGCCCAAACTCCTCCTCTTCCTCCTCCTCCTCGGTCTCCTCCTCCTCCTCCTCCGCAGACGAGGACTCCTCCGACGAGGACTCCTCCTCCTCGTCCCCCTCGTCCTCCTCGTCGCTACCCTTCTTCTTCTTCTTCTTCTTCCTCTGCAGCTTGGCCTTCAGCCGCTCCTTCTTGAGCAGCTGCCGCAGCCTGTCCTTCTCCTTCTTCTTCCGGGCCTCCTCCTCGGGCGTGAGCTCCACCTCCCGCACCACCAGGTGCCGCAGCCACAGCGTGTCCACGAACCAGCTGGGTCCGAAGCCTTCGCCCGTGTGCCCCAGCCGGATCTTGAAGACCTCACCCACGTCCGCCGCCTCCAGCTGTGCAAAGCGCAGGGCAGTGGCTGGGGGGGCCCCTGGCGTCCTCCCCGCCTCCCCTGTGCAGCCAGGCCTGGGCCTATGTGCGGAGCCCCAGTGGGGAGGCCCGGGGCCTCGAGCTCACAAGCTTCCACCAGCTCCCTCTCTCTCAGCCTGCTTGTTCGGCCGGCCTTCCAGGACCTCTTGCAGCCCCTCCTTCCACCCACACTTACTTCCTTCTAACCCCTGGGTGTGGTCAGGATGGTCTCCCTGCCTCTCTCCCTTCACCCCGCCCCACATCCACACATGCACGCACACACACATGCACATCGCACTCATTCCTGTCACTCCTGGTTCCACACCTCTGTTCATGCACTCCCCTCACCCAGAGCGCCTTTATTCCTTCCTCTGCCTCCAAGGAAATCCATTCATTCCATTTCCTGAACCTCATTACTACTTTCCTTTTCAGTTTGTGCTTTTCTGCATTCTCTTTCCAAAGTTTTTTTCAGCATGAATCATACACAACTTTTGTATGTAATGAGCAAGAAAACCGTGTTATTTTTCAAAAATACACCCAACCCCCTCCCCCATGTCCCCAGGGACCCCAGGCCTCTCCCCCAGCTCAGGCTTCTTTCCCTGGCAGTGCAGAGGGAGCCCAGACCTTGGCCGTGGTTCTGGTCTGTTCTGGATGCCCTCCCTGTCCACATGAGCTGCTCCCCGCCCACCTGAACGGGGAATTACTTGAGGCAGGGACTGTTCTTTCTTGCTTCTCTCCAGCACGGTCTGGCAGAGCGTGGATGGATTTAGCTTTAGCTTTTCTTCAGAAGGTTAGGTCCTCGGCCTTCGATCTACTTACTCTGTTCTAAGCCTCACCCTGCAGTGAGGTCTAGCCCCACAGAGCTCAGGGGAGGGTCCACATGGGGTACCTGCTGGTTGAGCCACTCTGTTCCCCATTCTGATGGGCCCCTTCTGGGTGTCTGTCACTTTTCAAAGCCTGGTGCCACCAATTTTTCCACATGTGTCCTGGTGACGGGGGACCTGAGTTTCTCAGTGCCCCATAACTGGAGTCCAGGCCTAGATGAGAACTCAGGTCTTCTGACTCTGTTCATGAAGCCACAATGTAGGCCAAAACCACCTTTCTGAGAAAGTTATCAGCCAAAATGAGAGCCCAGGAGCCCTGAGGGAGAGGCATTTTTCCCTCTCAGCTACTTAGGGGATGGGCTCTGGGCCTGGTAAGTTCGTTCTTCAGCACATTAGATCTCCTCCCCAGCATTTTCCAAGTCAGAGCATCCCTGCCCTCAACCTCTCCAGTTGGGCCTGCTCACCATCCCCTCCTCCCACATCTGTCTTCTCAGCACCCATGCGTCTCCCATGACCGCATTCATGACCGCATCACTTCCAGCCACACAGCATGCTGGCATTGGAAGACGCTCTGCTCTGTTCCACCCCCACAACTGGCCACAATTTCCTGAGTACATTCCCTGACCTTCACCGTTTTGACCCTTCTAAGGACTTCGAAGCAGGCTAGGGAGGCACTCTAAGGCTAGGTTTGAACTGAGGAAGAATCTGAGGCTCAGAGAGGTGAAATGCTAGGGCCTCTACCTTCTCAGCAGTGTTATGGGGGGTTAGCCTCAGTGAGGCCCCCTCTAGCACCAACATTCCATATGCCCTGACCCAGCTCAATCAGACCCTGCCGGGCACTGGGGTAGGACTCTTTGCCGAGGGCCAAGTGACCTGAGGCTCACAAACACACACAGAGCACCCAGCATGAATATGCTCCCTGCACACACATACCTGCTTACACACACACACACACACACACACACATACACTCACTCACACGCACTAGTATCCCACAGGAAACATTCATGTGTCCCCCACAGGGCGTTACACCTGCATTCTCCTCCCCTGCCAACAACATGCTCACATTCTCATCTTTTTCTTCTCTACTCAAAGGGAAGTACAGAATCCTGGGGCATCGAGAACGCAGCCAGGAGGCTCCTCCCCAGATCCTGCCTCGAAGCGTGGCCCTGCCCACAGGCGGAGAGAGCTGTAGAATCACAGGCTGGCAGTGGATGCAGTAACCAGGGGCTTCAGGACATATTTTGTCAAATTAGAATCATCTACTCCAGCGGTTCTCGGAATTGGCAGCTTGTTAGCCTCCCGGCAGAGCTTTCAGAAGCATACCCTGAAAACACATCCCACCATAGAGGTTCTGACTTAACTGATCCGGATGTGGGCCAGGCAGCACTTTTTTTTTTTCTTAAAGCTCTCCAGGTGATTCTAAGAAGCCAGGGACGAGAACCACTGAGCTAGTCCAATCCCTTCATTTTGGGGCATCCCCTGGCCCTCTGTGGGCACTCCTGCTGCCTTACCCACACACACCTGGAACGTGTCCTTGGATGCCCGCTCAAAAACTTTCGAGCGGCTGGACAGGAAGAGCACTTCTGTCTTGCCATCCTCGCCATAGATCTGCACGTAGACTCGGGCAGTGGTGCCTGCACCGCCCACATCCCCCGTCCAAACCTCAACCTCATAATGGACCACTGGGTGGGCATGTGGGGAGAAAACAGCATATTCGGTAATATTAATAATAGCAGTGATAGCAGCAAAGCCAACATTCCTGACCCTGTGCCACGCCTGGTGCTTCACGGGCACCATCTCATCTAACCCTCTCCGCAGCATCAAGATGAGGACTATCAGTGCCATTTTGCAGGCTGACAAATTGAGGCTTAAAGGAATTGAGTGGGTGGTCGAAATGGCAAACTCAAGCAATCAGACTCCAGAGCCCAGTGATCCACTGTACTACACGCGACTTCCGGAGCCAGGCATGAGGAGTCGTTAATATACCAGTGAGCACTCACTGCTGTCTGCCGGCCCCTGGGCAGACACCATGGAGTAGAAAGAAGCAAAGGCTTCCTTATGTTCAGTAAAGGACATGGGACTGAAATTAGAATTTTCTTTCTTTCTTTCTTTCTTTCTTTCTTTCTTTCTTTCTTTCTTTCTTTCTTTCTTTTCTTAAAATACATACATTAACATGGGGCTTGAAATCATGACCCCAAGATCAAGGGTTGCATGCTCTACCAACTGAGCCAGCCAGGGACCCCTGAAATTATAATTTTTATTTAAATATATGCACCTTTCAGATGACATCAACAGATACATCTACACCCAGAGAGAGTTGTCTGTGTCCTGAAGTAATATGATAGTAAGCAGTTAGAGGGTGGAAATGTGTTCGAGGTGTGCACCACTAGGTGTGCACCATTTCTGACGATGAGGGAGATGTCTTCCAGAACTGTGGGATCATGGTTTTTCAGTGACTACTGTTAAGACTTACCCTCGCAGAAATGCCATAAGATGATATCGTGATTTTTATTTTCAAGGTAAGATTGTTATTTTCAACAAGATGGGGGCTCTTCCATTACCATAGCAATATGAGAGATTTGGGGCAGAAAATAAGAGGACTGGCTGAAAGCCTAAAGAAGTTGAACTAGAGATACCAGGATCAGCTGGGAGTGAGGGTAGGCAAGCATTTGCACAATGGGGGAATTCAGTAAAAGCTGGCATTCTGAATGGACAGAACCCACAACCTCATTCCCTCTGTCAGATCCTAGAGCAATAGGCAGCCAGAATTACACAAAACTATGATAAAAATGACCATTCAGAGAGCAAGAACCAGCTATTGGAAATCAACATGTGGTAGCTGAAATAAAATGGCCCATAGTAAGGATAAAGTCAAGGACAGCTCATAAGAACAATAGAGGAAATTTCTCAAGAACAAAATAACAAATGATAGAAAGGTAAGAAAAGTAGAGGAATTGCAACATCTTACCAAGAAAACAGAGGATAGAGAGTTAGAAATTGTTAAAGAAATACCCATAAAAGTCTCAGAATTAAAAAATTCTCCATAGAAGGAGCCCGTGATGAATCCAGAGTAATGGATGAAACTCAGATCACAAAAGGCAGTGAGGACATCATGAAATTTCAGAATGCCAGGTATAAAAAATAGGATCCTATAAACTTCTAGAGAGAAAAAACCCTAAAGGGTTGGATAACAGAATGGTATCAGACTTCCAAACTGCAACACTGGGAGTTAGAAAATGGTAGAATAATTCCTTCTAAACTTTAAGGGAAAATGAATTCTAACTAAGAATTCTATAATGAGCCAAATTCCTGATCAATTGTGAGACATTCCCAGACATGCAAGGTCTCAACTTTTCTCTTCCATGCACATTTTCTCAGGAAGCTATCCAGTAGAAACGAAAAGAAGGAAGAAACCAAAGAAGAGAAAGACATGAAGTCCAGGAAATAGGAAATCAAAAAAGAAAGGAATTTCCAAAAAGATGGGCAAAAGGAAGTCCCAAAAGGACAGCTTCATGGCAGCCTAGAGAGCAGAAGGACAGAGGTTCCTAAAGGAATGTCTTGGGGCAAGGAGTGAGCAGAAGGAGGTAGAGAGGAAACAGAATTATGAAAAGAATTTTAGTTCTATTGGGGAGATGGAGATAAAATGATGTTATGGGAGAATTGTCTCGTACTCCAACGCAAATTCATGTATTAAAGTCCTAACCCCTAGTATCTCAGAATGTGACTTAGAGATAGGACCTTTAAAGAGAAAATTAAGTTCAATTATGGTCATTAAAGTGAGGCCCTAATCCTATATGACTGGTATCTTTATAAGAGGAAGATACTAGGACACAGACATGCAAATGCCTAAAGGAAAGACCATGTGAACATGCAGCAAGAAGGCAGCCATTTGCAAGGCAAAGAAAAGGCCTCAGAAGAAATGTGATCTGCTGACACCCTGGTCGTGGACTTCTGGCTTCTGGAACTGTGAGAAAATAGATTTCTGTTGTTTAAGCCATCTATTCTGTGGTATTTTTTTATGGCAGCCCTAGCAAACTAATACAGATAGGTGGGTATATAGAAATACAGATGGATATATAGAAAACTATATAGATGAAAACTGAGGCTATCATTAACTCCAGAAAAAACAAAGAGTTGTACAAAAATTGAAATGTAATCATCATACAGTATGTGTTTCAGAATGTATAATATTTACATAGTCATAATAATGTAAAAATTGAATACTGATTTAATTTTATTGAAGGCTGGGAGGAATGGATGCGCGCGCACACACACACACATTCATGTGTGTTAAAAGAGCTAAACCCTCCTCTTCCATTGTAAGAAGTCAAGAGTTCATGTCTATGAATAAAATAATCAAGGAATTGGCAAGCAAATTATTAAAAATATGGAGATAAACTTCAGAGGTAAAGTGAAAGCAATTGTTACCTTTGAAGAAGGGAGATGGTAAGGAGAAGGGAACTACTGCTTTCTAAAAATCTGTATCTTATTAACTAGTACCTGTATTATTGTGATGGAAATCAAGTTCTAACTTCTAAAAAGAGAAAGAGTTGATTCTTCACAGTGGCAGGTACCATTACACAGCATGTGTATATGATACAGCCCTCAAGAAACCTACAGGATAGTTGAGGAGAGATCACTGTGAACTTCACCCTCATTCAGAGATGTTGTCATCCTATCCAAAAAAGTCCCCCACCCCCATGTCATTACTAACATCCTATCCTGCTTCATTTTCTTCATAGCTCTTACTTGGCATTGTATTATATATTTATTGTTTGCCTCCCCTGGTAGAATGTAAATTCCACAAGGGCAAGTTTCGCCTATTTTGTGCCTAGGGCAGTGCTGGCTCAGAGAAACGGTCAATATATATACTTATTCAATAAATGAATAAATAAACAGCTTTATCTCCTCAGCCAGTCTTCCCAGAAGAAAACACAGACTATGTCTCAAACTCCTGTACACAGGGCTGAGAATGTACATTTCTTAATAGAATCATTTGCTGCCTTTATTCCAGAAAAAAATATTTCATCCACGGAGTCCTCACTTTCCCTATCTGTAATTTGAGCCGCTTTTCCCCTCCTAGAACCATGGCACCGCAGGCAATCAGAAGCACCATCATCTCCCCTAAGCCTCCCCCTTGGAATCAAGTTAAGTCACCCCACAGTCCCTTCTCCTTCCCCACACCCCATCCTACAGGGAAACAATGCTGGTGGTCCCATCACTGCTGCTTCCATACATTTCTGGATCTCCACGACCTCACTGGGATAGAGCTCCACCTCCAGGCGCCCATCAGCTTGGTTCTTGTCCAGCCAGCGGTTGGCAGGGAAGGTGTACTGCTTGCCTTGGCGGGGCACGCGGATCTGGACACTGCCGAGGAACCAGCTGGCGTGCATGCCTGTGCTGTCATGCCCAATCACCAGCCGACTGATCTAGAAAGAAACCCAGGGTGCGAGTGAGCAAAGAGCTGGTGCACAGAAATCTCCGTGCTTCCACCCACCTCCCACCCACCACCAACACTGGTACAAACTGCTTTCCTTGACCCAGACCTCCAGCTCCCCAGAAGAGGGGGGCTCAGCAGGAGGAGGCTGGTTCTCAGTCTTGTCCACCATCAGCCAGTCGGGGCACTTCTCCCGCCCGGAGCCTGTGTTCCCTCCTCTTAAGAGGAGCTCACCCTTGTGGTAGTTGTGAGAAGCAAGTTGGGGAGCGGGTGTGACTCCAGTATGTCTGTGATTGTGTTGAGTGGTGGCCACACAAGGAAGCAAACATTCAAAACATTAACCATTTGCTTCGGTAGCCGTGTTATTGGTTTGGCTTTGCTTTGTTTAAACAAGACAGTACCGTACCCATTTCTGCATTTCTTCTCTGATGTATCCCTCGGTTCTGTGCTCAATCCCTTCTCTCACTCTTGGCCCTGAGGAACATCTTTCTCTTTCCAGTAACGCTCAGTAGTCCACTTGCTTTGCTATTTTACATTTTAACATCTTTACATTTAACACAGACCACTGCATAGATCATCATGTTACCATCCTCACGAGTACTTGGTTCTTCAATGTTCAAATCCCTTTAGTGTGTTTTGTTTTTTTTAATGCTGTTTACGGGGCGATTCGAACATTAGACAGAATTATCAAATAGCCTTGAGATCCCTGCTGGTCCCTCCCCCTCCCCTCAGCTTCTCTCTGTGATGGTTTGAAGGGGTAATGCTAGCCATGAGTCTGGTGCCAGAAGGCTAGAGTTAGAAAATTGTTCCTCTAAGCCCTGTTCTCGCTCTTATGAGTGCTAAGTGCCTCTTGCGGCTGATAATGAAAATAGCATCAGAACTGAGTGCATGTAGCCTGGGTCCCCTGGAATTGTAGGAAGGAAACAAGCTTTGTTTACAAAGCCTGAGAACCTTCTGGGTGAGTGCCAAGGGCCACAGGAGAGCTTCATTGTCTGTGGTGCTGGGACAGCAATGGGATCAGCTGGAAGAATAAAGACAGGGACAAGTGTCTTCTACCTGACAGGATGGGAAGCTCCTTAAGGACAGAACTCCTGAAGTTCGTTCAATTCCAGAATGCCCAGCACCTACATGGCGCAACTGTTGATTAACCGCCAGCTTACTGAGCACCTACTGTGGGCACGTGGGTGCTATCAACATGGTTAATGCCAATAACAATCCCCCTGGTGTCCCCTGTTGTTATGAATGAGGACAAGCAAAGGTGAAGAAACTTACAGGCTCAGCAGGTAAGTGGAAACATGGAGCCTTGGGCCGTCAGCAGCCAGAGCTGGCTCTCCCAGCCTCTTGGCCACACTGCTTGTTGAGGGGGTTTCAAAAAAGCAAGGAAAGTCCCCAGATGCCACTCCCCTCCCCTCAGATGTCTCATCTATCTGGGGCGGTTGCCAGAAATCCTCAGTAAAGGGAAGAGCATCTCACTCCACGATTATTAATTCAGCTGAAAATGTAAATACATTTTGAGGAAGGAAGACTGTGATTTAAGCTCATTACCATCAAGGGATAAATGACTGACATGAGAGCACTTTGATGGAGTACCTGAAATATGGTGAGGCTTAGAGAGAGGGGAAAGGGACAGGAAAGTAAGGTCACAGATGGGAGCTTGTCAGCATCCCAATTCCTACTAGCCACACCTTGAGAAGGGCAGGTGCTAACAAGAAGCCCAGCTTGGACATTTCCAGAAAAGTTTCCAACACTCTGGCTGAGGGCATTAGATCTGTGTTCTTCTAGATGAACTGCTCAGACTTCTAGCAGCCGGGCCACTGGGTCCTTGACAGAGGGACACCCTCAGGTGCCATCTTCTAAGGTAGTATCTCTCCAGTGTTGCTGGGGTTGTACATTGTAACAGGTTTCCTGAGCATAATTCAGATAGATGGATACTCAAGTTTGGAATTAGGAAGATTTTCAGCCCCTCTTTTCATTTTTCCCTTCTCCTCTTTTCCTTCCCCACATGCCTGTGTCCCCTTCTCCAGTGTCTGGGACCCAGCTACATTGGTCTTGCCTATGTAGGTAAAGGAAATGTTGGAACACCAAAAATACACATTCTGTCCCTAAACGGACTCTGGGAGCTTAACCACTGTTCACATATATTCTGCTGCTCCGGGTCATAGCTGGAAAGTAATGTACTTCGCTAACCCCCAAGAGGGCATTTTTTCCCTTTAAAATGTGTTCACCCATGTGCATGTGAGAGTGTGTTTGTGTGTATGTGAGTGTGCAATGTGTGCATGAGTGCGTGTGCACGTGAGTGTGTGCGTGCACCCACACGTGGACACATGCGGGGTGGGTGAGAGCATGTCACATGGTCTTGGGAAGGAGACTTACAGTTCCAATGTTCAGGGTCTCCAGCGTGAACTCATCCACCCGGCCACGTTCAAAATAGTCCTGCAGATTGTTGTCAGAGACGAGAAGAATTTGCTTGATGGTGTCAGATTTATCCCCATAGAGCTTGATGTAGACCCTGGAATCTGTGCTGGCCCCAGAGACGTCCCCGGTCTTCAGGCTGATGTGGTAGCGGAAGTCTGGGAGTCCAAGGTGGGAGGCAGGGAGGGAGGGATTAGTGCAGGGTGGATGGAAAGGGCTGCAGCAGGAGGGCAATCTGCAGCCAGGGCGGGACACTGGTTTACGGGGGGCGGGGGTGGGGTGGTGGTGGTCAGCAGCCTAACCCTTGCTCTCCGTAAGTTGCTCTGTGATGGGGCAGGGCTCCCTTCATCTCTGCCAGGTCCCCTCATCAACAACACTGGGACGCTGATCCCTGTTTGGCCTGCCCGCAAGGTATGAACATGCCGACAACAGGAAAGCATTCAAAGACCACTGAGTGTAAAAGACTTGAATGAAGGACCTCAAACAACCACCCTGTCCACTTTCTCATCTGATGGATGAAGACACTGAAACAAAGGAACGTCAAGCTTTGCAGACCGTGTTTAGCGCATTATATATGCACTGTATATGTATTCTGATCTCGGCTTTACAAGTGAGGAATCAGAGCCTTAGAAGGTTACATGTTTGGCTCAAGATGTCAATAGTTCAGAAGTAGCCAGCCAGGAGTGAAATCCTCATGTGGGCCCGAAGCTCCCTGTCACAAAACAGGATGCCATGTTGGTGTTCTTCCATTTTATCACCCAGAAAGGTCTGCATCGTAGGTGCACAAGGGAGGATAGACACGTCTGTTTGGCTGATGCTGCCTCCTTTGTTGCTCTCATCAACAGAGGCCTGTGTGCACTCAGGGGCCCATACCCAATGCCACAAAGAGACTACAGAGAAGAGGATTCCAGATCCTCCCTCAGAGCCTCTTCCCCTCCACCCTCCCCACTGCTGCCCTCCAGGAATGATGTGAACAGTTCAAGAGCCGGAAGGATGCCTCTCTCATCAGGGGCACACCCACCACCTGGTCTCGGGACAACTTACTCTTCAGTGTCGCATTGCTATCACTGGGCAGCAACTCTCGGACCAACTGACCATCATCCTTATCCTTGTCCAGCCACCTGTTGGGCAGACAAGGGGCTGTTAGTTCTTTGAGTGGCCAACAACCAGCCATCACACTGTTCGTGGAGAGTCACCAGAAAGGCCAAAACTGGGAATTCAGCAAAGGAAAAGGCTCTAGGGGGGCTGAGAACAAAGGTCCCTGCCCAGACTGGGGAGGAAGACAGCCCTGAGGAGGCAGTATTGGCTGATGTTGGAAGGGTGACAAGGAGTTAGCTGGGAGAAGAAGAAGGTGCCATCTCCAGGGACCAGCAAATGTTGGGACAGAGCAGAGCCTCTGGGAGCTGGTGGAAGGCCAGTGTGGATGGAAGGCAGCAGGGGAAGGGCAGCTAGCCTGCAGCAAAGAAGGCTAGACAGGTGGAAGGGTCACAGGATGTAGGACCTTGGCAATTACAGTAAAGAGCTTGTCCTGAAAGTCATGAACACCGGTGTCACTGTTATCATCATAAACAATCACCTCGTTCTGGGAGAGCCTACCATGTGCGTGGCAGTGTGCTGAGGGCTCTGGGGAGGGGAGACGGCAGAGATGATGCACGGAGATCAGTAAAGACACAGCTCGGCCCTTAGAGAACCTACTGCCCAGTTAAGAAGACAGGCTAGACCAGCCAAGGTGCTGAAGACCAGGACAAGGATGGCTGTCGAACCAGAGTAAGTGCAACAGGAATTCAGAGCAATGAGGACAGCTTGTGGGGAAGGGGCTCTGCTCTGAGTCCTCAAGGAAGAATGAGATTTGCCAATAAGGAGAAGTTGGGTCTGGATCCTACAGGGCTGGGTTTGATGGTGGTGACTCCTCTATACGTCAGAGTGGGCCATGGCCCCAGCTCTCTGCTGGTCACCCACCTGGGGGCAACATATTGCACTGGTCACCCAAAAAGCGCCATCTGCCCTGAGCATGGGATGCAGCCTGAGAAATGAGACGACCGTGCAAGCACCAGGTGCCCAGGCCCCAGTACTCACGAGGGTCTGTGATATAGGTGACGGCAGCAGAAGAGACACCCTCGGTGATCTCCAGCACCACGGGGAAGCCAAGGCACTCCTCTCTTGACCAGTGTCTCCCCATCTGCCTCTGTGTTACAGCTGGTCTTGGCAACCCAGCCCTGTTATACTCCTGGCAGGGAGGCACCTCCCTGGCCACAGAAGCCATCGAAGGAAGCCAAGGCGTGCCTCCGCCCCAGCCCTCCTGACACGGAGCTCAGGCCTCTGGGAACCATGGTCTCTCTGCAATATACCCCCGCCTGAGTGTCGGCATCCCCATCCCTTCTCTCTTGCCCCTGCCCCAAGCACACGAACTTACACGCCGGCTGTTAGCTCACACAAAATGTTAGCTGGCAGCTGAGTGGCTACACTCGCCATGGGCTTCTCAATGCTGCGAGCCTAGAATGCCACAATCATTAGGGATTCCAAGACGTGAAGACACAATTGTAAAATTCTGAGGCTGACACCAGCGTGGGTGGGGCTCAGGGAGAGATATTTGTGAGCAGGGGCTACTGCCTAGAGCCCCTCCGTTAGGAGCCGCCACCCCTGTCCTGCGGAGGTCACCGCCTGCAGAGGTCACCCAGCATTTCCCATAGATGCAGACTGCAGAGAAGGGTGTGGCTCTGGCCACCACTCACGGGGACGGGGAGGATGGAGCCAGCAGGCCCTCCGCCATCGGAAAACCTATGCTCCCTCCCAACCTTCTCTCCACCACTCACCCATCCCCAGGCCCACCACAGCGGTAAAGGGACACCATGGCTTGCCATTTCAGTTTCCAATGAAGTACTTGCAGGGTATCGATCGAGATTTCCAAATACAGCCGTTTTCTTTCAGCTTCAGACGCTTGGGCCCAGCACCCAGAGGCTGCTCAATGGGTGAGCCCCTCTACAGGTGATTTTATTGCTCTTTCCCTGGGCTCACAAGAATGTACAAGCACGCACACACACGTGTACACACACACACACACACACACACACACACACCTGCCAGAGCTAAACCGCTCACCCTACCTGACCCTGGCAGAGAAGTTGGGAGAAAGAGGCCTGGTTTTTCCTCTCCCAGCTCAGGTGAAAAAAGAACCAGCGTGGAGCTCCAGCCCCGCCTCCAGCTTCTTCAAAGTCCTCCTGGGTCCCGAGTCGGCAAATGCCATCACCACATGGCTCAGAAAGGTACGAGAAGCCATTTTCTCAAAAATGCATGAACGCTTTATGTGTCTGGGGGCAGAGAGGGCTCTGGGGTGTTTGGGGGCCTCAGCTTGCCTTGTGCCCTGCAATCAGCATCACCTGTGCCTCTGGCAGACTGGCTCCTTTCAAAGTGCAATCCCATTCCATCCTCCCCATCACCGTAAGACACATGCTGGGCAGGAAGTGCAGAAGACCAGAGAGGTTAAGAAATTTGCCCAAAGCCACACAGCAGGGAAATGGCTAAGACTCCTGGTCCCACACTCCCCCTGCATCATGCGTGTGGTAAGGCAGGCAGTGTGGACACACCAACTTTTTCCTCATCCCCTTTCCAGATTCCTCATCCTCTTACTGGCCTGTCTCAGGGCTCGGTCCTCACCATTCTTTATCCATGCTGTCCCTGAAGGATCCTATATGCATTTCCCTGACTTTAAATTCCATCACTACGCTCTCATTTCCTGGATCTATTTCTCATGGCCTGATTCTGGCTACTCGAGTCACAAGCATCTCAAACCTAACGTGCCCCAGCTAAACCTCCCGAGTCCAGCCCATCTCCACCCTTAAACCTTCCTCCCCCCCCTCCCCACCCAGAACCCTTCCTCCCCAGGCTCCCCACTTCAGCAAGAGCATGACCTCTGCCCATCTGCCGAAGGCAGAGACCTGGGGTCTCCAATTCCCCTCTCTCTTGTGGGCACATCCTATGAGCTCTACCTCCGGGATCTGCCTCCAGTGTGGCCCTTTCTCCCCACCTCCACTGCGACCCCCTAGAGCTGAGCTGCCATGTTACAGGTTTAAATGCATCCCCTCAAAGTGATACGTTAAAGTCTTTTTTTCTTTAATTTTTTTTAGTGTTTATTTATTTTAGAGGGATAGAGACGGAGCACAAGTGGGGGGGGGGGGGCAGAGAGAGAGAGGGAGACACAGAATCTGAAGCAGGCTCCAGGCTCCGAGCCATCAGCACAGAGTCTGACGCAGGGCTCCAACTCATGAACTGCGAGATCATGACCTGAGCTGAAATCAAGAGTCACACGCTTAACAGACCGAGCCACCCAGGTGCCCTGATATGTTAAAGTCTTAACCCCTAGTACCACAGAATGTGACCTTATTGGGAAATAGTGTCCTTACAGGGGTAACCAAGTTCACATGAGGTCACCGTAGGGCAGGCCTTACTCCAAAATGACTCGTATCCTCATAAAAAAGGGAAATGTGAACACAGACACGGACATGCACAGAGGGAAGGCAACGTGAAGACACAGGGAGAAGGTGGCCATCTAATCGCCAAGAAATCCTGTGGCCACCAGAAGCTGAGAAGCATGGGGCAAACCCTGTGCAGAGCTCCTTCAGAGGGGACACAGCCCTGCTGATACCTTGAGTTTGAACTTCTGGCCTCTGTAACTATGCGTCAACAATCCTGTGGTGTAAGCCACTCGATCTGTGGCGTGTTATTACAGCAGCCCGGCAAACTAATACATCATGGGCCCCGCAAAGCTTCCTATCAGGCTTCGCTTCCCCTTTGGACCTTCCATGCAGAAGCCCTGCTGCTTTCCTTTTTATTCCTCCGGAAGTCAGCCTCACTGTCCGCTCTGCAGACAGAAATTTACCCAGCGCCCCCACCTCGAAGCCACCCCACCTCAGTGTGGCTGCTCCCAGCAGCCTCCACGCCATCGTGCGTTTCCTTCATCCCGTTCCTCACAGTCCATGGGTACAGCTTTCATCGTTTATTCACTTCCTTATTGTTTAGTCCCCCTCTAGGCTACGCACTGCATGAGGTCAGGGAGCAAGTGTGAGCAAGTGCTTAATAAATATCTTTTGAGCGGATGGGAATAAGTCTGCTCCATCCAGCTATCAGCCAGGCAGCCTCCTGGTCCAGTAGGGGGGAAAGGAGTGGGTGACCAGAACTCTCCCACCTCGTCCTTCATCCCCACGTGCATATCAGCCCCTTGCCGGCCTCTGCATGAGTCCCCTCCTCAGTCCTGTGCCTCATGCCACCTCTCCAGCCTGGAGGACCCACCACCCTCTCTGCTCCTTGCCATCCCTCCACCCTCTGCTCTTCTGATCTTAAATCTTAAATCTT